ATCAGTGTTGATATCATATCTACACATTTTCCCTTAAAAATTCACAGCAGGGCCTCCTTGGTGGCACAAGGGGTTAAGACGCAACTTATGAAGCTATCCGCGGCCACTGCAACATGAGTTTGAACTCTGGCCAGGGAGCTACCCACACGGCGCAGCAGACCGCTCCTGACTCACCTGCTGTTCCCCTCAGCAGTGTATTTCAGTCAGTCTGCCTGTTCTGTTCCCCACTCTGTCTCTGGTGAATCCTGTCACATACACACACCCCTCCTGCACCTCTGGCCTGTACCCCAGCTCTTAAATGCATAAATAAATAAATCTGAAAAAAAAAAATTCACAGCAGACAAAGAAGACATGGTAACATCTATACAAAATGTACTGTAATAAGCTCTATTCAGCTATGATGCAGCCTTGGTCTCTGCAAATCCGATAAAGCAAGACAGTCAGCCAACCTTCTTCTACCTTGACCCGTCTAAGCCAATACTTCTGTAACACTTCCTCATTGTAGTATCAGAATTAAGCTCAACTAAGCCTATAGCCCTCTCTATGTGAAAACTCTTAGAATCACAAAAAAGCAGAGAATTGCTGCACCAGAAGTACACTAAAGGTCACTTGATTCAATCTCTAAAGCCTGTGTCTCTACATCACTTTTCAAGCAGGCATCTCTAGTATTTGAATACTTCAGTAAAGACTAGGGACAAGATTCTTCTCTAACTTATCCCAGATAATCCACTGAATATTTAATTTACAAAGAGATTTCCTTTAAATAAAAAAAAAAAAGGAAATCTCGAGGCTACCCTTACTCTGCTTTTAACAGATACAGAAAAAAAGTTCTTTCATATCTTGAAGTAAAAGGAAAAATGTTTTCTGTAGGTTTAGCCATTGACCTAAGTTTAACCTCTTAGAGCTTCTTCCACAGAAAAGCTACTCAAATACCAGGAGACGACTGCATGCTCCTAAGACGATTTTTCCCCAAGCTACTCTTCAACTCCTCCTTATAATGTCATGCATTCAGACTCTCTGCATCTAAATGTTCTTAAATGTGTCTGTGTCCTTAAACCACAGTACCCAATATTCAGTATTTCAGATGTGATCAGCTCCTCCTTGTTTCTAGAAATTACTTAAACAACGTAAGATTGCATTTTTGATTTGGGGGAAGTTTTCTGACAGCCACTGTACAGATACTGAAGGATTATTTAAGTAGACTATTTTGCTTTTTATTTTTTAATGGGGCCTTTTTTTCTTTTTTGGCTAGCTTTTAGCTGGAGAAAGATGGGAAAAAATAAGATCTTTATAGTCATCCTATCAAATTTTAACCTGCTTGACTTAGCTCATCACTGCTCCCCTAAAGATCTTGTGGAATGCTGAATTTCTCATTTAACATGTCTGTTACCCCACTCTCCCCATACTTTTCCCATCCATAATTCATTAACAAAAATATCTAACAAGGAAGAGTTAAGAGAGCTGTAAGACACTGCCAGAAACTTATATACAGGTTAATATAACATCATTGAAAGCCATCTTTTGGGAAAAGTCATTCTATAGTAATAAAGAAATCTAATTATTATCTTATCAGATTAGATTTTCCATCTTATTTACAGTGCCTTGCCACTGTCTTGAGGAGCTATAGATTCCCATCTCCCATATATTCCCGATCTTCCAGTCTGGAAATCATACAAAGAAAAATATAAAATTAGTATAAGATGACCTGGTTTTCATGTTGGCTTTTAAGGATCACTGTTTCCACTTTAAGGTCCTCACAACAACAGTCTACTCTAAAATTGCTCTTAGTGCTATCCATTCCTTATCATCAGGCAACTGCAACTCAAAAACACAAGATACCACCTCACATCTGTAAGAATGGCCCCTATCAAAAAATCCAGACGAGTATTGGAGAGGATGCGGAAAAACAAGAACCCGTATACAATGTTGGTGAGAATGTGGACTGGTCCAGCTCCTCCCTTTAAGTTCTTTCTCTGAAAGGGTACAACCTGACTGAATAAACCACAAATGATTTTAGAATTTTAGTTTTAAAGTCATTATTGTTGTTACGCCTGTGCCAAACTCTTCTTGCCTAACCCACATCATTACTACGAGAATCAAATAAAAGAACAGATAGCAAATCAAATCCAAGAGCTTCTAAATTGTAAGGCATTTTTAAATGTTTTAATCCATTGATACTTAGTATTTCCCTCCAAATTTAGGTGAGAGCTGCATAATTAAACATCTAGTCTAGCTACAACAGTCTCAGGAAATTGGTATTATTACCCTCATTTACAGATAAGGAAGTGAGAAATTAAAGAGGTAAAAAGAAGGGCCTCCCCGGTGACGCAGCGGTTGAGCGCTGGGTTGCGAAGCTGCCCGCGGCCTCTGCAGCGCCGGTTCGATCCCCGGCTGTTCCCCGGCCACTGGAGGAGGGTCCCACATGGCGCACAGACCTCTCCTGCCGCCCGCTGCTCCCCTCAGCAGTGTACTTCATCAGTCTGCCTGCTCTGCTCTCCCCTCTGGCTCTGGTGAATTCTCTCACCCTCCCGCGCTTCTGACTGTACCCAGTGCTTGCATAAATAAATAAAAATAAATCTTTAAAAAAAAAAAAATCTTTAAAAAAAAAAAAGAGGTAAAAAGAAGAGAGTTGCATTTCAAGTCTAGATTTGATTCCAAAGCCAACATTATTAACTGCTGTTATGAAATTCAGATCTATAAAGGCCAATAGATTATAAAATATGTTTATAATCTAGGAGTGATTCCAGAGATACTATATATTACATACACTGTTTATAGGGCCTCATTCCCTGGACTCTGAACAAAAAGTCAGGTATTTTCCCTTATCCCTTCTTTCCTTAAAGAATTTCGGAATTAAAAAAAATAAATTCCTCAGTCCATGTTCCTTTAAATATGTGCTTAATTTAGTGATTTGAGGGTTAATCAAAGTCTGATAGAGGAAGACAAGCTCAAGTAGGGCAAATTATAGAAAAATCTGTGAGAACTTTCAAAAAGCTGGTCCAAACTGCCTTTTTTGGGGTTATAAAATGAGAAAGTTTCTTTGGAAAAAGTTACCTTTGTCAAGTGTCACCAGAATGATTTAAGAAAAACTGTAAATGCTAGTAAGCATGTTATAGTCATATAATCATCACAAATTCAAAAAGAAGTTAGCTTTTATACCAATCAAGCTTTTAGGATGAGATGGTTATATTTGAACAGTTGTCCTATTAAGGTATAGGGGTAATCACTGAAACTCAGTTGCTCCCACAATGGCTAAAAACAAATATAAAAACCATTCAAGAATGAACACAAATGCAGTCCTTATTCTCTATTGTAGAGAAACCAATCACAAGCCCATCTGTGTGAGACATAGCTAATAAGAACATTATTTGAGAGGGATACAAAGAGAAAGATGGATTGCCAAGGGGGAAAAAGTCATTTATTAGACTGTGACAAGCTTTTAAATGTTTGTGTTATCATTAACCAACTGCCTGGTTCTCTGGTTTGCACACCTGCCACCTCCATCCAAAGCTCACAGTAGCAAACTTGAAAGTAGGATCACCTCTAAGACAATAGCACCCTCTTCTGACCTTTCTGTAGTACTGCAGGCAACCACTTACTGAAGTGGAAAACTCTAATAAAGCCATAAATTAGTAACTTTGTAGGTTAACATTTTTCAGCTCATTTAATATTTTTAATTCCCTGAATAAACCTAAATTCAACTTAATAAATGTATGAAAGATCAGTCTTTCAAATAATAAAAGGAAAACCAACTATGGTCTCACAACATTTTAACAGTCTACATATATTAGTGGATCTTATAACAAGAACTATAATAACACAAAAACCTGACTGTGAGCCAGGCACTAGATATAAATCAACCCGTTTAATCCTATCAACCACCTTAGGAGATAAGGACTCATTATCATCTTTATCTTACAGATGTGGAAAGTAAGGCATGACGAAAAATAACATTCCCAGGATTATGCACCTGGTAGTAAGTTTAACTTCAGTAACCAATAAGGCCAGGCCTTTATGAGGCTGTGTGCAACAGAATGAAGGTGATGTCATAATAAAATGAAACATGATTAAAATAGAAAAAGTGAAAGTTGTACGGAAAATTGCAAATATACCTAAATTGCAAATACAACCCATTTTAAGCAAAGTTTCTTTACCTAAAGAAAACACAACGTCACATCCTAGTTTGGGTCATTTCCCCATCCCTCCTCACTTGAAGATTCTTACTTTTGGAGCTATGATATTTCCATGTGTTGTCTTTACTCCCCCACTCCTTCTATCCATCATACCTGATTCAAGATCAAGCTGCTATTTTCAGCCAGATCCTTTCACCAACAAAAACACACATTAATTCCCTATTTCACTGAGACCTTTAAAAAATATTAAGACAATAAACTAAAAGAGAAGACAATAAATCCAAATAATATCATGACTTTGACTGCAAACACGACACGTCCATACTGATCTACCTTGACTTTATTTATCTAGGACTATTTTAGCACATGGTCCTGCCTGAAATCAGGACAGATAAGTGCACCAAGATTTCTAAAAATACTAACTTTATTTTCAAACAGAACATGAAGATATATATATATACATACAGATTATTCTAATAGTCCATAGTTCAAAATGCAATCTCTCTAGAACATATCTAGATTCCAGTTTGCCTACTTAAAGCTATTCAGAATGTCAAAAATTAAGAACACCTGATACAAAAGCTTCATTCAGATTTCCTTTTTACAACTATCTTTTCATTTCACAATATTAGCTTAGACTTAGTGAAAGTGTAAAGTACTAGAAACACATATAAACTGCACCAACTTTAATTTGTCAGATCTAAGAGCAAAATGAAACAAGAATGCTACATTTTCGTATAGTAACTGATGACACTGCTAAAGAATTAACCTTATCTCCCAAATAGAAACATAACAAAAACATCACAGGTAACACATATGAAAAGGTGCCAAGGAACCAAGTTCCCACAAATCCCAGAATTCTCTTACCTCCGTCTGTAGGATGGCAGCCCTTTGCTCCTTAGCAGTCAAGGACTCCTTCAGCACTTCGATGTGTTGCTTACTGTCTGAGAACTGGTTCGTGAGTGTTTCTAGCTTTGTCTGTAGGGCGAGTAGTTCTGTGTCCTTTCTAGATAGCTCCTGCTTCACCTGACCAATCTAGAGAAGAAAACAAAACACTGTAAGGTAAAAAGAAATGAAAAAACTGCCTCTCACCTGGATCTCTGACAGATCTGAGTGACAAAATAGGAAAGTAAATGCAAGCTGAATTTTGTAACAGGACATACGTCATTTTTTTTCACCACCTAATCTTGGTTAACAACATCCCAAACCAAAAAAAAAAAAAATCACAACTTATTCAGCAAATAGGGAAATTTCAACTTTTTTTTCACTTATTGTGTCTCCTCAACATTCTCTGGAATCCCTTAGAAAAACAGAGAAAAATCTCAATTCCTTTCGATGCCTATAACAAAAAGCATCTGAAAACCAATATGCTAATAAAATATCTTTTCATTTTATTAAGTCAATCCTCTTCACAACATAAAGCAGAATTAATGTAGATGTAACAAGGCAAAAAAGAAATCTCCCAATATTGCTACTGAAAGTTAAATTCATCCCTTCTCAGCTTTTTGGCTAAGATCAACTGCAAAAGCTGCAGCTACTATATTTTTTGTTATTTTCACTAAACTTTTTTTATTTCTAAACAGAAGTCTTTACAAAATACTTATCTCAAAAAGTTACTTTTCATGTTATGTTATAAACATGGACTTTTTAAAAATTTTATAATTTTAATAAGTTAGGGGTATTCAACTAAAAAATGATTCCATCTACAAAGTTATGTCATGTCATAGCAGTTAAATGGATAACAGTTTATGACCTAAATAAAGTTCTGTAAAAATCAACATATTTTGAATTTGAACTACTCCAAGAATATTCCAAAAATCAACAGATGCCATTCATTCTTCCATAGATTTCTCATCTTAATTTAGAGTATTTTTTATTTCAAACACCTCCTTTATATTTTTATTATGTTTCTTAAAATTCTTTTAAGGAGTATTCTCAGTATAAATGCAAGCCAAGTAAGCAAAATTCAGATCTGTTTTTATGTTACATTTACTGGCTAACAAAGGTAAATTAATTACTGAGAAAATAAACTTGACAAGAAGTCAGTATTTTTAGTAGTAACTGATGAAAGGAAAAACACTTTTTATTAATTTTTAAACAAAATCTATCAAAAGCATTTTGATTATAATAATCTTAGTTATAAGGGACAATGCTTTTTAAAAAAAAAAAAAGATTTTATTTATTTTTACCCAAGAACTGGGGTACAGGTCAGAGGCGCGGGAGGGTGAAAGGATTCACCAGAGAAAGAGCGGGGAGCAGAACAGGCAGATGGACGGAAATACAGTGCTGAGGGGAGCAGTGGGTGAGACAGGAGAGATCTGTCATGCCATGTGGGTATCTCCCTGGCCGGCCGGGAATCAAACCCACGCTGCAGAGGCTGCAGACAGCTTTACAGTGCTGAGCTCAACCCGCTGCTCCACCCGGAAGGCCCTGAGGGACAAGGCTTTTAAGAACAATTTCCCGTAGCTGCTATTTCCAGCCAGTAATACAGACATATACCCATGAGTTACCACATAGAGAGGGTGCAGCATCTTTCATGAGATCCTTTTACCAACAAAAACACACATTAATATTATCCATCCCTAACATGCAGATTGCACTAAAAACCTACTTGTATGAATATCAGGAAAATATTCAGAGTGTTATCACTTTGTCAGCTACAGACCTATGTCTTAAAGATTACTCAATTTCCTACCTACCGCTAATCACTTGATCAAAAATAAATATTAAGTCTGTTTCCCCATCTTCTATACTATTAAATAAGTTTCAAATAGTTTTATATTAACCATAAGAACTGAGAAAGGAAAAAATATTCTAAATAGAAAGTAGCTGAGAAGCACAAATTTTCCCTTGAAGTAGGAGGGCACAACTTTCTTGCCAAACACACCCAAGGATAAGTGTGACTCTAAGTAATTACTTTACCTCTCTAAGTTTTTGATTTACTAGCCAAGTAACATGGAAAAAAGTAAACTAATGCTACTGTACTGTTTAAAAGATTAAATAAAATAATTTATGGCATCTATTTGTCTTGTTGCTTGACACATCAAAGAAACGAATCATGGTTAAGAAAAAAAAGTTACAGATCAACATTATTCTCTAGACAATAATGTACAGTTACCATAAACCAAATTAGACTCTCTCAGACAAAATATAAACCCTCTATACCATCCATATATACTATATACACTATATTCTATCTATAAGAGATCCCTAACTAGCAAACACACCAAATTAGCACAAGTTTGGCTTTTTTTAAGCGGCATTCCAGTTGTATCCCACAATTATTTTCAGAGGCACTTTTTTCTGACACTTGTGTGATAAATGTGTGCACAGCCTAGAAAAAGGCAAGAGTGAAAAGCTTACCAGTACAGGTTCTGGAACCAGACCACTGACATAAAAATCAAGCGCTACTTTGACTCGTTATAAAATACTTACACAGTGTGATTTTTAAGTGATGATTTTTAAGTGTTAGCTATTTTGTTTTTATTATGTTCTGAAATGGAATTTTAAGTTCTTTAGGTAGAAGACTGAACTAGATTTAAAGACTTTAAGTTCCATGCTAACCCTAACTTACTAGATAACTCTAAATAAGCTAAACACTTTTTAAACATCTGCTCTAAACAAACTAACATTTTGCAAAACCATCAAAAGGAGACTCAAAGATAATGCCTACACATGAACGTAAGGCACTCAAGATTTTCAAATTCAAATAATCACTAGGTGATGGACCCAGACTAATACCTGAGATTCTTGAACCTAAAAGAAAAAGATACCACCGTACATTAGAAGTCAACAAATGTCTAGTAACAGGAAAAGAACTGAGGAAAAACAAGCTTTGAAGGACCATCCATACATTGACAAAAGCAACAATATAGACCAGATAAAGGGTTTCCAGAACAGGTGAGGGCTCATTGCACACGAGTGATAGGAGTCGGTTAAAGAGCAGAGCAGGCTGGTTAGTGCTAGCATTGGGCAAAGCTGCCATCCACAAAGAACGAAAGTGTAAGCCACCCAGAAGCCAGAACTAGCAGGGTCCCACTGTGGCATCACTGCCCACGGAGAGTAAATCTTACGGCAGAGACCTCAGCCTGGAGACCAGCCGCTCTCTTTTTCAGCTCCTCCCCTTGAGCCTCTTTCGAACTTAGTTCCTCCTTCAGTTGCTCTACCTGTCACGACATTGTTATTCTTTTTCACTTATGTGTCAATTTTGGTCCTGGTTATCTGCTTTTGAGCCAGAGCAGTAACTGGAAATAACAATAATTTACATAACAATCATCAAATCTGTGCATCTAATTCCCTTTTCAATGGATCCTACATGTTTTTTTCTATTTCACATGGTTTCCTAAATGAACTGAAATGTATTACCAGCAAGTGGGAAGCAGAGATCATCGTGGAGAAAACTCTGTTCTCAAATTAGGGTGAAAAATCCAAACTGTTATGGTTAGTTTGATATCTGAATTTTTAAGTTCTAAAATTTATAGAAAATTGACAGTAGTCATTGATAACTAGAAAACTATTCTACAGACTTATATGCCAGGCATGGGCACCACAGCAAGAAGCCAGAAACCAGAGGGAGCTATAATTGCATCACTCCTTTATAGCCTCTAGTTCTGAGAAACTGGGGGACTAAAACAATTTGAATGTGGCAGGGGCATATGATTTTTAATTAACCCACAAAAACCTGATAACTGATACTGTAATAAACCAAATCCTCTAATGTGCCTACACAGAGAATTAAACCAAATAACCTTAATCAAAGAAAAGAATGTGTAGCTTAACTTTTAATACAGACTGACTTGTCTCAGTGGGACCTGTCTTACTGCACATATATCTGAAGTGCATGTGGGAAACAGTAAACCTGATCCACGGTGGAGCAAAGGCTTTCCCTGATGGAACTGTATTTGAAGGAAAAACATGATTTTGTTTAAGCCATTCAAGGAAAAAGGGAGGTAAGACACAGAGGTGGGGTCAGTCTGTCAGGGTTTTAACTTTTAAAATATTTCACAAGAGGCAGGGAATTTGATTATCTCATTTATTGAGGAAAAACTCACCTGGATGACAATACATATTAGCCTCATGTGGGTAATTTTCTTTTAAGTGAAAAACTGAAATAACTACACAATATCAGTAGCTCTGACTTTAATTCTGGGAACTTCCATCTGAAAGAAACATGCTAGAGGTATGCTTCCCCGAAGTCTGATAAAACAGTGTGAAGTTCATCATCATCACTAAGCAAATAGAAATATGCATCAATTTTTCAATCCCCTTTTAAAATTTACTGTACCACAAACCATTACCTTATTTTTCATAAATTTAGAATGGCTCCGATAGACTTCCATTTGCTTCATTTCTTCCTCTCGTTCTTCAGTGCTCAAAGCCCCATTAGATTTTAGCATCTGAATTTCTTCTTCCAAGTCTCGGAGCCCACGTTCCATAGAAGAAATTTTTGAATCCTAAGACAAATGGAAGATTTAGACATAAGAATATTCACAAAATTTCTAAGAACCAACTCAGTTTGTAACTTTTACAAATGTTAAATTTACTAAAAGATTAACAAACATGCAGAAAAAATTGCTGCCTAGCAATTCATGCATTGCTTCCAAAATACAACCTTTAGCCACTTGGGTGGCAGGAAGAAGACTCATTTCTTCAGTGTGATTTTTCCTCTATCCATTCCCTAGCCCAGACCCTTTCGATTAAAGTTGAGAGAATCTAAAGAAGTAAGTGTCACCTGGTTAAAGTTTCTTTGCACTTTATGGTCAACAAATTTCTAGTGAAAATTTTCATAATACTAACAATAATATTTTCTACCTATAATATTTTATTATTTTATTTGGTGACATCTGAAAGTTTTATTTTTGCCCCAATAGAGGGGAGAGGTGAGTATAAGAGTTTCAAAGATTTATACAACAATGCATAGGAACTATATTACCAAAAAAGGGCTGAATAATTGCTTTAGTAGTCATAATTTATCATATTAGTAATTTTATTCTCTATAACTTTCCATGCATTTGAGATATTTCATAATAATTTTAAAAAAGAAACTCCATTGTCCTTATAAATCATCAGCATCACAAATATAACCTCCTAATAGACCAGCTTTCTATATTAAAGTTCTTGGTTTTGCTTGTCACATTGTCTAGGTTATCCCCACATTGCTTTAGTGTCAACAATTACAGAAAAACTCCAAAAGTCCCTACAAAGTCCTTGCCAAGAATCTTTTTCCCTAACCCCAAAATAGAGAAGTAGTTCTTGCCTAAATCTCACTACTAAATCATGCACTATCAAACCCCCATAAAGGAAACACAACTGCAGCTTTGAAAACCAGGAAGCAGGCACTAACAACCCAGAAAATGAACCTTCCAGGCTACTCTCTGAAATTGGGCCAGATTATTAACACATAGTATACTCGAGAAGTTATAGTACCAACTCAGCCAGTACTCAAGGCAGGTTTATTTGAAAACAGTTATTTCCATCAAGGTTTCTTACTCCTACAATGTGTGATAACTAAGTAAATTTATGATCTATCAATCATCTGTCTTTCCATTTCCCCTACAGACTACCTTAGATCTTTATAATTCTCTGAAGTCCATGCCACCTGACTCCACTGGGCTACCAGAATCTCAAAGTCTCTTCTTATTCTTAGCAGAATGACTAGGGTTAACACAACTAAAAACAAATCCACTGCCAATTATTACTAGTATGCTACCCGACTCTGTCAAAAGGGAAGAAAAAAAATGTTACAAACATAAGTACATACCTATGGTTTACTCTTAGGTTTCAACAGGGATCAGGAAATAACATGCACAAATAAACTTGTGGGAAATATGAACATGCAATTAAACCTTCTAAATGCTCTTCACAAGATTACAGTCAAAACTACTAATTGTCTAACTACAAAGAACCCAGAATCCACTAATTTGGAATCTGTTTCGGAAATTTTCCCCTATTGAGATCAAAGTTTTAAAAGGAAATCACCCAAATTAAGAGAAGAGTTCTCATATCATAGCAATAAATATTAAATGAAGGCCCACAGCATCCCCTGGTGGCACAGGTAGTTGAGTGCCACGCTGTGAAGCTGTCCGCAGCCTCTGCAGCACTGATTTGATCCCGGCTGGCCGGGGAGAGTCCCACATGGCGCAGCAGACCTCTCCTGCCTTGCCTGCTGCTCCCCTCAGCAGTGTATTTCATCGGTCTGCCTGTTCTGTTCCCCCTTCTGTCTCTGGTGAATCCTCTCGCCCTCCCGCCCATCTGGCCTGTACCCCAGTTCTTATTTATTTAAAATAAATAAATAAATCTTTTTAATAAATAAATAAAGGCCCACAATGCAAAATACAATGTGAAACTTCTGAGCAATGAAGCAGTTAAGAGACAAAAAAAAAGTGTCGTCCCTTTAAGTGTGGTATCTATAAGATTCTGCTGGCTTTTGTGAGAAAAAATATGTTATTGATAAAAATAATAATAGCAGCAGCTATGTTTACTACATACCAGGTCCTATTCAAGTGAGTTAGGATTAGGGCAAATTTGTTTTACAAATTTAAACCTCAAAACAACCCAAGAGATAGACACTATTGTTACAGCTATTTATCAGTAAAAAAACTGAGACATCCAGAAGTTAGGTAACTTGCTTTATGTTATATAAATAGGCAAAGCCAGATTTTGAATCCAGGGCATTTAACTCAGAGGGCAAGCTCTTAATTACCATATCATACATTCCCCAAATTTTTAACTATTTAACTATTTTCCAAGTATGGTCCATGGAATTCTGGAAGTTCAGGAAGTGAGCATGGTCAGAACTATTTTTATAATAACTATATTCATAATAATGCTATGACTTTATTTGCCTTTTCTGCTATTATCAACATTTGCACTATATTAGCATTTGCAGTCACTAACATAGAGTAAAGGTATAAAAGCAATGGTAGCAAGCAAGACTGCCAGTACCTTTGGAAAACAGGCAATAATAGTGCACCAAACTGTACTAGTAAGTATTATATTCTTCAGTCTCAAGCACTCACAGGAAAAAAATATAAAGAAAAACTTGCAGATTTTAATAAATCTCTACCCTTGAGTACACCTCTCTTTAATATTCTATGCAATGAAAAGGGAAGGAGCTAGGCCTGTCTGCTCATAGTGGAGCATGATGTTGTTCCTAGGAGCACTTGTGAGCTTCTGCGAGTTGCAAGAAGAATGAGATACTTTTTTCAGGGAACACTATTTTTACTTGAAAGAACAAGTGACAGAAAATCTATGTTTACTCAGACTTGATATTTGACAGATATGTTCTTAAATATAAATGAGTGTATTTTAAGAGAAAAAAGGGGTCAAAAGGTTTGAAAATAGGTGATTTAAAGAATTTCTGGACAACCTTTTTTTGGTGCAATTTGAGCTATGGTCTAGAACTACAAGGAAATGGAAATTAAGTTACTGTAAAATGTTATTTTCATTAAGTCCTACTATTTCTTCTCAATCTACAACATGAGTGAAATACAATCACATACCACTTTCCAAGCCTCACACCTTAATGTGTGCGGTCATTGGAATGTGCACAGTGACTCAGAAGTTTGTTAGATTCTCACCTTCATTTCAATAACAGTTTGCAGAGCTTTTGTTTTGGCAGAATCAGAGGCATTCTCAAATCTCCGATGCATCTCCTACATAAGAAAAGCAAAAAAAAAAAAAAAAAAAGTAAGTATCCTCCTTTTCACTTTTTGTTAAGGGCGATGACAAGAGTGGCTGTATAAAAAAGATGATTACTCCAGCCTTGCAAGTCACTCTGATCCCTTTCTGTCTGCCTTTCGCTATGGATCAGGAAACCCACAGACTGCACTGAGGTTCGTTCAACCACGCAGGCACAGGAGGGTCTCCATCTCTGTACACATAGTATTGAAAATTAGCCACTTGCTTGTATGTATGTATGTATGTATAAATAAATAAATAAATAAATAAATAAATCTTGTATAAATAAATAAATCTTTTTTTTTTTTAAGATTTATTTATTCATATAAGCACTGGGTACAGTCAGAAGCGCGGGAGGGTGAGAGAATTCACCAGAGCCAGATCGGAGAGCAGAACAGGCAGAGTGATGAAGTACACTGCTGAGAGGAGCAACGGGTGGCAGGAGAGGTCTGCGCGCCATGTGGAACTCTGGCCTGGCGGCCGGGGATCGAACCGGTGCTGCTGAGGCTGTGCGCAGCTTCGCAGCCCAGCGCTCAACCACTGCGCCACCTGGGGGGGGCCCAATAAATAAATCTTAAAATAAATAAATAAATAAAATAAAATTAGCCACACAAATGCCAGCTAATGCAACAGTTGAAGCCACAGCACAACCCCGGGTTGGAGTGTGTCAATCTTACACATGATTCCAAGATACATAATCAGAACCCCAAATGACCCAAAAGAGGATTAGGAAAGTTCCCTCTTTAAAAGGGGAAAGGCATCTCTCCTCCCAAAACTGCCTATACCTATGACTATGCAGGCGTCTCTGTTAACAAACCTGTCCCTTTCAGGTGCAACTCTTTCTGCCCTTGTGTCTGCACAAGCGTTCTTTCCTTTCCTTTCTTAATATAATAAACCTACCCGTTTGGATATAACCTAAAAAGGGGGGGGAAGGAGGGGAAGAGAGAGAGAAAGAAATAAAAGCCATCACCATCAGTATGCACTACACAAAGCCACTGAAAATATCTGTGTTGACAACATCCTTTCCACATTACCCATCCCCAGACTAAGAACCACCACACCTATCATGAAAATCTCTCTTCAGTGGAGTCAATGAACATAAAGAAAAAAGGCAAGACTGTTCAACAAGTTTCCTGAGTAGTTTATGTTTAGAAAATGTCAGAAAAATACGGCTTTATTAATCTAAATTTGTGTTGAGTTCAGGGTACAAACAGAAGGAAGGAGACAGTAGTAATATCACAATTAGGATCTTCCAGGATTATTGTGAAGTTAGCAGGCCACCTCAGGCTATTTTTCTATCATATTCTGCAAGTGTCCCTGAGTTAATCAGCCAGTGCTTCCAAAGAAACCCGAGACGTCCTCTAGAGACCCCAGATAATATATAGATGAATAATTTCCATCTGAACAGTGCTTAACCATGATGAAAGAAATATGTGATTTCTTAATTATATCTGTCACCTAATTTATTCATTCTTGCCTGATCAAGAATAGTTTGAGAGAAATAGAAAATACAACCGCAAGTATCATATTTACCATAGTTCTAATGAGCTGGCCAAAGCGCTCAATTATAAAGTCAACAGTTTAAACATCAATAATTTCTGAACATCCACATTCCCCATCTGATTGTTGATACTATATTAGAAACTAATAAAAACACCCCACCCCTCCTGCTACCTTTCTCCCTCAACACCTTAAATATCCACTCAGGGATCCACCTGTATGTTTAAAACCTCAAACTCTACATCCAAGCTAGATTCTTGATGGTACCCCAAAACTTGCTCCATCCTTCCAGTTACTCAGGTCAAATATCTGATCTATCTTAAAGCCTTTCATTCTCTTTCAAGCCACAGCCAGTGAGGAAATCTAGTTAATTCTACCTTCAGTATATATCTGCAATCCAAGCACATTCTGCCATCTCCACTACTGCTGCTTGGAATGAGCCACTAACCAAAAAATACCTTTTAATCCAACAACAACCTCCTAATTAAGCTCCTAATTTTCTTCCCTTCCATCTATTCTCACAGAGCACCCAGAGTGACCCTTTGAAAAGTAAATTTCATCTTGGTACCCCTCTGCTGAAGCCCTATCATGGCCCCCTAACTGACTCAAAGCAGAGTCAGCTCTTTCAATAGCTGCAAGACCCCATCTCTGACCATTCTTTACGTGGCCACTAACGCTTTAGTCCCCCTGGACTCCTGCTGTTCCTCCAACGTGCTGGATATGTTACTTAAGGCCTTTGTACCAGATGTTCCTGTTGTGTGAACTTTTTTTCCCCAGCTGATAGAGAAAGACTTTGTCTCCTTCAGTTCTTGGCTCAAATGTTTTTCTACATTCTTAGGTTTATTGGTTGTGGTTACGCAAAAAAATGTTTTTAGAGATGCACATTGAAGTCGGTGGATATAAAATGACAATTTTGCAATATGTCATGTCAGAAATTTAAAGTCTTTGGTGAAAAAAAAAAAAGATACATGAAGCAAGTGTGACAAAATTTTGTGAACTGGTGTATCTGAGTGATAAGTATATGGAGATTCACTATACTATTCTCGTTACTTTTGTGTAGGTTTAAGATTTTTCATTTAAAAAAAAAAAAAGCTCACTGCAGTCAGTTAAACTTACTCTGCTCCTGCCTACATAGGGCCCAGTGTGAAATGGCTGCAAATAGCAGTCTCCTCCATAGGGTACACAGGCAGTTGCTTGTATGGGTTGCCCTGAGAGGTCTTGGAGACTGTCCCTTCCTGTGGACATTCAAGTCTTACCTCATGCTGTCCCCAACCTTGGGCTCCAGAGAGGTATGCAGGTTACCTTTGGAAAGCCCCAGAGCTGTGGCTAGGGTCCACACTGGCCAAGTTGCCATGCCCACCCAAACCAAGCTGCAGAACAAGGAGCATGTGACTGAGGCACTCTGCAGGACCAAATTTAAGTTCCCTGACTGCTGAAAATCTGGGGCTTTACCAAGTTAATATGGATGAATTTGAAGACATGGTGCTGCATCATCCCAGATGGTTATGGGGTCAAATACATCCTGATGGGCTCTGCACTCATGAGCACCTCAGAGCTGCCCCACTTAAGTTATATCAAAGAAAACCCAATACCTGTTTAAAAAAATATATATGCAATGTTCTCAGTGTAGCCTCCTTACTTGAAAACAGAGAAGCCATTTCCCCTTTACATTACTATATATTTCGTCTTCCTGTACCAAATATACTCTATTATGGAATCAATTTATTTGTTATGGGTACTGTTTATTTTCTGTTCCTCTCCCAAAAAATGTATGCTCCACAACAGCCACATTCACTGGTGAATCTAAAGTGTCCAGAACTCTTAATAATACATTGGTAAATGCTTACTGGATAAAGAATGGAGAATGACTGAATAATGAATAGCTACTGAATTTTCAAGACTTAGCTAAAGAGGTCATCTTTTAACCCATTCCTACTCCTGCAATGATTTATTTCCATCTGGTCTTACTTCTCATGTGTATGCGACATAGCCCTCTTTTATCACTTACTGTATGTATGATATTTGAAGCAATTTTCTTCTTTAACATACCAGACTGTGAACTCTTTAAAGGCATAAAATATCTTTTGTATTTCTCAGACACTGTCTGACATGTCAGGGGGATCATAAAAAATATTTCGCCTCCACGCCTGTCCCTCTTTAGTTGGATGAAGGCATAAACACATGAGAAATTGGCAGCCAGTTTCCATCCTCATCTCTCTACTGGACTAGTCTTTCAACAGTATCAAATAAAGGACCTTCTGTTGCTAAAACCTAATAGCTGCAGTTAGTCTATGTTCTTTCCAAGCTCCATCTAGTACCTGACTTTTTCAACTGTAGAGGTAAGAGACAAACATCTTTAAAATTTTTGACTCGCTTCCATTAAAGAATTATCCTAGCTCTAAAGCTTATTCATTTTTTTCTTTCCTACACACACACACACACACACACACACACACACACTTTCTAAGTTCCTAGCGTTGGACTTCATTCTTCTCAATTCAATAGTCGCAATCAGGAAACTCTACTAACCCACAGAGTAACTTCATATAAATGAGAAAAAAGCAACTCCTCTGTGGTAAATGCAACCTCATCATGAAGCATGGGTAGAGTTTTAGGTCCCATCGGCTCAATCATCAGCAGGAAGCTCTTGTTCGGTGAGCAACCTGCACATGCAACCATCCAAGGAAGCCTTTCTCAATCCCACAGATTCAACTGCTACCTTTCCACTGAAAAAACCTGTTTATCTAGCCCTGTAGTATACCTCTATCAATCACTCTTTCTTGTCAAGTGATATATGATCTCCTTTCTATTTGGGGACCTCACAGTTTAAAACAGTCTACCTCCCACAATAGGAGTAAAAAATTGCACATTCTTGTTTTTCCAGACATAGAAGAAAACATACATTTTCTACAGCCTAGACACTTGATCACCCCAGTCAAAAATAAATCAGTCTCTTCCTTTGGGTTCCAAGACACAAAATTAACTTTTTCCTCCTACCTTGCCAGTTCCTTTTCTGACCAACTCCTTAGGATTGCCCTTGTCATCAGTCCTCTGTCATCTTCTCTCCTTCATTTCCTTGGGGTTCTCATCTAATCTCATTTTCAATACCATCTAAAGTGATAACTCCCAGATTTTTACCTCTTGCTGAAATGCATACCTGTATCATCATCGCTTCCTTAGCAACTACAAGTATAGCTCTAATAGATTAAAAAAAGCAGTTAAAGTTTTCCTAGCCCCTGCACATGTTTCTCTAACAGGTAATACACTATTAAAATGTCCAAAACTGGGCCTCCCTGGTGGCGCAAGGGGTTAGAACGCAACCTGCAAAGCTGTCCGCGGCCAGTGGGGCATGAGTTCGATCCCCAGCTAGGGGCCTGCCGACATGGCGCAGCAGACCTCTCCTGACTTACTCGCTGCTCCCCTCGGCAGTGTGTTTCGGTCATTCTGCCTGTTCTGTTCCCCACTGTCTCTGGTGGGTCCTCTCACCCCCACACTTCTGGCATGTGCCCCAGTTCTTGTGTACATATTTTTTTAAAAATAAAAATAAACAAAAAATAAAATGTCAAAAACTGAACTTCAAATATTCCCCTCTAAATTTCTTCTCCTATCCTATCATGATTAGTAGTATGTGTCCACTAGTTCTTTAGGCCTGAAATATGGAAGTCTGTTGTATCTTGCACCTATGTCCAAATCATCAGGGAATACTACTGTTTATATTTTTTAAATATCTCCAGAACGGACTATGCCTTCAACCTCAGAGTCACACTGATTCAAAACACCAATGTCTCTTGCCCGGATTACAGTTACATCTCACAAGCTTGATCTCCCTTTCAAAATAGAGTACAGACAACAACAACAAAGAAAATAATCCAGTCAAAAAATGGGCAGAAGAGCTAAAAAGAAACTTCTCTGAAGAGGAAATGCAAATGGCCAACAGGCATATGAAAAAATGTTCAACATCACTTGTCATCAGGGAAATGCAAATCAAAACTACCATGAGATACCATCTTACACCAGTGAGAATGGCACATGTTAAAAAAAACTAGCAACAACAAATGTTGGCGAGGGTGTGGAGAAAAAGGAACTCTTCTGCACTGTTGGTGGGAGTGCAAACTGGTCCAACCACTGTGGAGAGCTGTGTGGAGATTTCTGGACCTACTAAACATAGAGCTTCCATAGGATCCAGCAATTCCACTCCTAGGTATTTACCCAAAGGACACAGAAACATCAATTCCAAAGAACACCTGCACCCCTATGTTTATAGCAGCACTGTTTACAATAGCTAAGCTTTGGAAACAGCCCAAATGCCCAAAAATAGATGACTGGATCAAGAAGATGTGGTACATATACACCATGGAATATTACTCAGCATTCAAAAAAGATAAACACATGCAATTTGCAGCAACATGGATGGCACTGGAAGGGATCATGCTCAGCGAAATAAGCCAGAAAGAAAAAGAAAAATACCGGATGGTCTCACTCATAGCAGGAATCTAGAAAACTTAAATAAGGGACCAGGAAAATGAATAACTATAAGAAAGTGAAAATCAAAATCAACAAAAAACTACGAACCAGAGACACTTTTAAGGGGGCGGGGGTGGGAGGGGAGAGATTGGGGTCAGAATGGGGGGGCTGCAATTGTATGGGGAATATAAAAATAAAATTTATTATTAAAATAAAAAAAAATAGAGTACAGAGTTTTGTTTGGTTTTTTTATGTTTACTTATTAAAGTTGAGGTAACTTCAGTTTACAACACTCTGTATGTCTTAGGAGCACAGGTTCATAGTTTTTCAAATGTTATCACGCCATGCCTATAGCCAAAGTCCTAATAACCTCTACCACAATCCATTACATGCCCCCCGCTCTTTGATCTTAGCCCTCCACCTCAGTTAACCACAGTTCTGCTATCAGAATTCAAGGGTTTGTTTTGATTTTGGTTTTTCTGTTCCTTTGTTTTGTTTCTTTATATTGCACATGACTAAAATAATCCAGTATTTGTATTTCTCCTTCCAATTTATTTCACTTAGCTAAATCCCCTCAGGTTCCAACCATGTTGTCACAAATAACAAAATTTCCTCTTTTCTTTTTTTTAATAACTCAGTATTATTCCATTGTATATACAGACCACATCTTCCTTAGTCACTTATCCATCAACAGACACTTAGGATATTTCCACATCTTGGCTATTTGTGAATAGTGCTGCAATGAAAACAGGGACGGATATAGCTTTCTTTTCAAATTAGTATTCTTGTATCCTCTCACAATAGATAACTACAAGCAGAATTCTGCATCATACGGTAGATCTATTTTTAATCTTTGGAGAAACTTCCTTACTCTTTTCCACAGAAGCTGGACCAGTTTGCATTCCCACCAACAGCATAAGAGGGTTTCTCCTTCTCCACATCCATTTCCCTAAAGATAAGTGATGACGAACATTCTTTTCACATGCCTGTTGACATCTTTATGTCTTCTTTGGAGAAGAGTGATCCACATGACCCAACAGTTCGACTCCCAGGTATCCACCCCAAAATGCAAAAACACGAATTTGAAGGGATATATGCTCCTGGGTTCACCGGAGCACTATTTACAGAGCCAAGTTATGAAAACAACCTAAGTATGTAAAGACTGATGAATGAATTAAGATGCGATATACTAATCAGTTAAAATAAAAGATGATACCTTGTCATTTGCGCAACATGAATGGAAGCTGAGAAGATGATTCTAAGCAAAGTAAGGCAGAAAGAGAAGACAAAAACTGGATGATTTCACTCGTGTGGAATATAGAGAAACACAAAACAAAGGAACAAACAAAACTAAATTAAAACAAATCCCCCTAGCACCCACGTCCAGCTTATCCACACTGAATCTACTCTCCACGCTATAAACAAGGTGATCAACTGGACACAGAGAAGAAATTTAATAACATTTGTTCAATAAATGACTGTAAACTTTGAAATGTATGAACAAAAAATTCTGCTAATTGGAAATAATGTTTATTAATAAAATGCTATAACCTATACTGTAGATTTTTCACTGATATATCTACCCCTGCTGAAATATTAAAATTGCCTTTCTCTGAAATACCTTATAATTCAGATTTTTAATTTACTTGACCTCTTTCCCATTACCTAAATCCTGATTAGATAAATTTCCAAATGCTTTAAGGTGAAACTATTATAATTTCATTTTAAACGTTAACAAGCAAAAAGCAAAACATGAAACAAAAACC